AAATTAACCAAATGTGTAGGAAATCCAGTGGGAGTGCTTTAAGATCTTAATATATGTACATTCCAAAGCAAAGTAATGAGATGAGGCTGAATTACTTACATAGCTGAGGTGGTGAAATTCTGCCCTGTGGAATGATGAAGGGGATATGTTTCTTATGTGCAACAACTGATCATTTGAAACAATTCAGGTTAAACCTCTCTTAAGATAGGCTTTAAACCTGGATATCGCAAGCTAAATGCTTGCCATCTCAAAGAAAATGCAGCACACAGCAGATGCTCAATCTAAATAGATGGTGTGCTGATTCACAAGAATTTACCATGGACTGTTACTAGAGCTGTATGATTAAAGAGAAGAGACTCATGGCTCCTGTGATTGAGCATGTATTTCCTTATCAGTCAGCAAAGAATGACAAAGCACAACCTTTCTGCCTACTGCCCAGACTGGTCCTCCATGGATCGGCTTTTTGTGCTTAAGAATCTATGAGCTCTGAAAAGATAGTCATTTCTATCTAGACTCAAGGGCAAGATCTCCAGAAATACTGGATTATAAAAGATCTACTACTAACGGAAGCTGCTTCTTACCTCTGTCAGCAGAACACGCAACAACAAAACATACAACAACACAGCATACAGCCTGCTGCTCATCTGGATAATTATTTGAAGTGAAAAGGAATAAGCACATAGAAAAAAGTGTGTAGCTTGCCACACAACTCACATATGAATACAAATCTGTCTTTTTGCTTAGGTGGAGGCTACAGATACTTAACCATAGTCATTCTTGTAGATAAATTAATCCGCTCACATTCACCAATGAACCAGATACAGATGCGTAGCAGAAATCCTCTGCGCTGGATTCCTGGAACTTGAGCCACAGATAGATTTGCTTTCCTAGACTTCAGCAGCATCTTTTGCTTAAGCCCTGACCAGAAGTCAGTTTGTGGAAGAGGCTGAGATTTCAGGCTGTGTAATGTTGTTTGTTTTCTTTTTTAACATAAAAAATGTAGGATAAAGGAAGAAAAACCTGACAGTTGTTATGATGAATCCAACCAAAGGAACAAAGGCTCATATGAAAAACAAAGACCGAAGCCCTCTGCTAAGAAAGAGAATAATCCAGATGCTGATACTGACTTAGAAACTGATAGTAGTGATGATGATAAGAGACATAAAAATAGTAAAGTGAATTTGAAAAAGCAGAAAAAGAGGGAGAGCTCTGTGAGCAGTGAAGAGGAGGTTAAACATCACAAGAGCCAGAGACATTCCATGTCACCGAGTGCATCCAGTGTGGAGGAAGAGCCACCCTCAAAAGCCCAAACAAATCATCTTACAAGGAGGGGAGAGAGCAGACCAAGTAGAAGGGGAAATGATGAACAGTACAGGGAAAAAGATCACGAGAGAAGTAGGACCTATGAAAAGGATCACCAAAGGGATAAGGAAGAGCGACATAGATATGGGGATCATACTAATAAAGATAACTACAGGAGGAGGGAAGAGCAGGATGATAAACAAAGAGGGAAGGAAAGAAGAGAGAGGGAGGGACACAGCAGAGAATGGAGGAAAGGAAAGGAGAGAGATGAGAAGGGCTCAGAAAAGGAACGAGAGAAAGAAAGAATAACAAAGGAGAGAGATGAGAAGGGCTCAGAAAAGGAACGAGAAAAAGAAAGAATAAGAAATGGTAAAGATAGATATAATGACAGAGAGAAGGAGAGAGGAGAGAAATATAGAGAAAAGGAAGATCATGTGAAGGACAGGAGAGAGAAATACGGTAATGATGAAAAGAAATACAGAGAGAGGAGGGGAAGTAGTTCTACACCTTTAGAAAAAGATGGAGAGACTCATCAGGAAAAAGAGAGAAAGGGAAGAGAGAGGGAGGTGGATGAGAAGGGAAGATCCAGCTCTGAAATGTCATCTGAGCAGAAACGTAAAGCTGGAGAAGAAGGGGATAAAGAGGAGAAAGAACAAGCACAGAAACCAGCTGAGAGCATGAGCAAATTTGCCAAACGGAGCAATGAGGAGACAGTCATGTCAGCAAGGGACCGGTACTTGGCGAGGCAGATGGCACGTGTCAGTGCCAAATCTTACATCGAGAAGGAAGAAGATTAATATCCCTTGGTGGACAAAAACACTTGGTCTGTCAACCAGAAGGAAAAGTCACTGCTGCATGGACTCCTGTACAGAGGTAAAAGTGTGTCCTAGTTATTTATTCCTGGCTTTCATCTAAGAAACTGGATGCTGTAAGAGAGGAACAACTCTTGAAATGGGCTCATGGATCACTTGAAAAACAGCCTTAGTGTCTTTATACAGTTGAAATATTAAATTGGGTTGACTCCATCCACCATGGCCTTCAGCACCCAGCCCATAAGATTCTGGGCACTTGAAGTTTCTGGGACAGACCTAGGAGTGTTAAAAAGCATGGCAGCTCTGAGCTGAAGCAGTGAGCTCTGCTGAGAGAAAGGGGTTCTCTGCCCTTGGCAGGAGGCATTGTTGCCAACTGATGCTCTCAAAAGTGAGCAACAGACCTGTAAAAGTGAAGAAAAAGGCAAGAAAAACAGCCTGAATAATAATCTAGGAAACTTCTGTATGTAGTATGGTGTTTTGTAAGCTAGATGCATATTGATATATGAATTTTGTATTTATGTGTGAGCTTTGGTCTTGGGGACCTGATGTACAGAAATGAATAAAGTGTAAGATACATACTGGGTCTAATGTGTGGGTCTTCTTAATGCTTGTGTTATTTTACTGTGTCTGTGTGTGAAATAAGGTACATGAGTCTTGTGCTTGTATATGAGTTTATGTATTACAGTTGTATCTGCTTGTTTCTACTGGAAGTAATATTTTACATTTGTCAACCTGTTCAAAGGTTCATAATGAAGAATAAAGTTATCTCCAATCTCTAGCTTGGTAAGTGGGATATCTGACAGTGGTTGTAGATTTTAGAACACATTTTTAACACTTTTGATAGTAGTTTCTTTTACTTTATTGCTTTTTATGCTACAGTAAAGTGAACTTGTTCAGCCTTAGTAATGAGACAAAGTGTGAGTGAAGTTAAATGCCAAGCCTGCCAGTTTACAAAGCCTTGAAATTAGTTTTATATATAAGCTCATCAAGTAACTAAGCACTTACTCCAAGTGTGGATCAGTTCAGTTTTGCTGTTCTGTCTAAACAAATGTAATTTGCTTTTGTTTCTTCTGTTGGAATAGAGTGAAAGAACTGAAGGAAATCCTCTGCTTTTTGGCAAAGAGGCCTTGTTGGGGTAGTAAACTGGACTGGATATTTTGCTGTTTGGAATAGAGTTGTATCTTTGTTCTTTTTTCCCATAAGAGAGGCACAAGAGAAGTCTACAGATGGATTATGAATATTAAATTTATTACAATAACAGTTTACAGTACAAGGCACATACTGATGACTTAACAATTGGCTTGCAACACTTGTAACTAAACAGCTGCATAAATTAATACAGGTGCATCATGTACAAGTTGGAGGGAATACTTAGTTCTGTACAACTAAAACTCTGGTTTAATACTCCTTGCTTAAAGGGCAAATATGGTCCTAGTTTAATGGTTTCATAACTTCCTTCTTACTTCTCAGAATAAGGGGTAGGATGTTCTCATGTGATGGGTAAGTGAAGGGGAACTGAAGAGAAGGAATTGGGTGGTTTGCCTCAAGAGACTTCTAAGTGCAGCCCGCTTGCTATCAACCTGCCAACTAGTTTTTGTACAAAACCGATGTTTAACGTATGACTACCTGTTGAGCTACCTGGTAAATACTGGTTCCTCTAAATGTGTTCAGCTGGATATGTAAAAGGAAGGTAAAATCAATTGTAAAAATAAATCTGTTTCTCAATATACCAGCCACTGAGCTAAACAGACACTGACAAATGAACTTGTCAGCAGAAGATATAGAAAACTTGACACAGGTGTGCCATGTAACAAAAAATAAAGGGGAAGTTCAGCTTTTATAGAATGAAAACATGCATGCATTTAATGTTTGTGTTATTCAGGAAAAGATAAGCATTTTAAATCCACTTCTGGAGGGCTTCCTTGCTCCATTCCCATAAGCACCTCAGACTGGATTGTTCTAGTGAAAAGAGAGCAAAGATCTAACATCACCAGTGATCTTCTGGACTATCTGTTCCTAAAAATATTTCTCCTGTGTCTTTGCATGTCTATCTTGCTCTGTTACCTCCAAGTGATTTAAAACTCTTTCACCCTCTGTCAGTACATCTGTACTCAGAGTGCTTTAGTCAACTGAGAGACCGTGCCCGGTTTTACACTGACTGTTGCAGGACTGTATTAACATCAGGGCTTCTTGGCTGACTTTTAGTCCACTAGAAAACAGTGGCATTTCTTAGGAGGTGCTAAAACCACCCAGAGAGACAATGTCTGTTGTGTATTAGTGTCTTAGAGTACAAATTAAAGATGCATCTTTTGCCGTTACAAAGGAATAACATCTATAGTGTCGCACATGAAATAGGGATTTCTGCAATTGTTACTTTGCAAATTACTCCACTAGAAATGTTCCCATTTTCAGTTTGTTTGCGAGGGTTGAAAGAGAAACTTTGGCTTCGAAACAGATAATGCTCCTATTTAACTCAACCATTTCTGTCCCCACCTTCACCCTTGCTAATAGAAGGCTGCAAAATGTCTGTTTGAAGAGATGTTTGCACATTGGAAGTTGAATTTTGGAGCTGGTTTGAGGAAGTGTGTGGGGGTTTGTTAAAGGAGCCTAGCATGAAACAGCGTCAAATCTGGCAAAACATAGTCCATCTGTAAGATTTACCTATTTAAATACTTACCCATTTAGGAGAAAACTCACTTATCAGTAGCTCACCACCAGTCTGAAGAGTGAAGGAGCTGGGTAGGGTTTTCTCCTTTACTTCCCACACTTAGATGGTGGATACATACCTCAGCATGTACCTCAGCAATCTTACATCTGTTACGGTTTGTTGGTTTTTTTGATTATAATAGAAATATAATAAATTATAGAAATTTCTATTATAATAAAAAAATTACAAGAGTAATTTTCCTGATTGGTAACTTAATAATTAAATGGCATTCTAATATTAAAATAATTCCCAAACTGTTCCTGTTGTCCTTAAAATGGAGTCAGATTTGGAAACGGCTTTCCGATATACTTGAGGGATAAGCTACAAAAGTATTTCCTGTAACTGTACAGTAAGACACATCTATTGTTTTCCTGTTGGCAGTGAAAGAACATGCTCCCTTCTTAAAAATAGTTCAGGTGCCTTTTGTTTTTAGCTCCAAAAGAACAATCCTTGTCCCTTGAAGTTATTTATTCCCTCATTGGAGGTTGGGCTCCAGACCTAAAGTTAAGTGAACTCAAGTCAGCAGCTGAAGTGTAAGAGCTTCCTCCAGGAGGTGTCTGCACACCTGAGGAGACAAACCTTGGTGGAAGCAATGAAAATGTTTCAGAAGACGAAGACTCCATCACTGCTTTCTTCTGACGTGGCGAGTACTTTGTACTGATGTAACTCTTCAACAAGTCTCTTAATACCTGTGGCTATGAATGTATATATAACCTTAGTTCTTACCCAAGTAGGCCACGAGGTACAAAAGAGACTTTTATCCTCTATTTTATTTTACTTGTTATATCTCAATGGTAGAGTGAAAATAGAATGCAGGTTTTTAGATAAATGATGCTTACTTGGGTTTACCTAAACTCTCATGTACCTGCAGCAGAAGTGCTGTCCTCCAGCTGACTTGGCAGTTGCAGTCAGCCTGAAGGACAGTTACATCTGGAGTGCGTGCATCTGATATAGAGAGGTTTGTATGTGCCTGAAAGTTAATTCGTGTATTACTGCCTCAAAATGTAATAGAAATAGTTCTGATGAGAATCAGTCCCGCTGAACTCTACCCAGCTTCTTGTTAAAACAAAATTCACCTCCTTTTCTTCTTGAGGATGAAACCCAAATGTGATCACATTAGAATATGAGCTAATAAATCTTCAAAGTAGGTTTGTGTAGCTTGTTAAATGTACTATAGTCAGCTAGCCAACAGGAGTATTCTAAACTTCAGTTCTGTATGAGGAAGGAGTAGAAAGAGCCACAGGCTCCAGCAAATTGGAGGTGTGAAATAAATTAAAAACAAACTAAAAATGCAGAACAAAACAAAACTAAGCAAAGCAGGGAGGCAGATCTTTAAGATTACACTTTTTGGCATCGGAACTCAAAAATGCTCACTCTTGGCCTGTAGTTTCTTTGGGTGTGTTGGGTGAAGTAACCCATGGTGAGTTTTTGTGGCTTGATTGGGTCTAAAGCAAAGTGAAGCATACCACATTACAAAGAATGCTTTTGCAGTGCTTACTGCACAAGGAAGAACAGACACTGGTAATGAGAAGGAGGATAATGCCACCAACCGTGTGTGCTGATGTACGCAGAGCTGCATATGGTGCTGCTCAGAATCCTCGGTTTCCTCTTCCTCTCTACTGCACTACAAACCTATGGGTATGCTACTTTTTTTGGCTAGTTTATAAAACCCTGTGTTACTTGAGTCATACATTTATGGCTATCAGAAATATCTTTGTATTTTTCAATGTAGTTTAAGCAATTAGAACCTTAAAAGCGAATACGACATTGCCCAGTACAAACGATCACATTGAGAAAGATACAGGAGCACTGCCACAGACTTGGGATTCTACACCTAATCCTACCCGCTGATACTTGTCCTTTAGTGGCTTACTCAGCCATGCACACTTTCTGACAGCCCCAGAGCATGGAGTAGTGGTATTCTCATGCACACAGACAGCCGTGTGTTCCCAGTATGCGTTGGCTCTCTGTCAATGCAGGCTGGTTAGAAGTGCACTGGAGATTTCATTGAATTGCTTGGATATATGTGCTGGAGGCACTGTGTTTCCAGATGCTTGTTGTCAGTGATGCCATCTCCGTGGAAAACTCCTCCATTTCTTGTCTTATCTGGAAACTGAATTCTTTGGGGGGGTGGGGGAGAGGATGAGGAAAGTCACATTTTGTGCTCCCCCCAGGTTAGCTTATACTGCATTCATGCGGATGTCTCCAAAAGGAATTTCTGTAGCTGTTTCTGGAGTAATGCTTTTCAGAATACGCTGTTGGAGAGAAATCAGTATTAGAAATCAGTTGATTTTAGAGGTAATACATAATGTGATAGCCATTTGGAAAGAGGTTTATAATAAGATATGAATTTAGTTTGAGTTACACCTCATGAACTACAACGCAAGGATGTTTCAGGCTTCTTTCATCTCAGCACTATGAAGATATAAGGTGCTACAGAAGTACACAGTATTATTTTTGTTTGCAACATATAATTTGAACCAGTGTGACGGAAGTATTAATGCTTTAGGACTTTGCAGTTCACTTGGATACCCTGAGCCAACTGAACATACTACTTCTGATCTGGTAATTACATAAACGTAAATCCCAAAAATGCTGTCACAGACTTGTGACAGAGCATCATCGTTACCTCCTTAAATGTTCCTGGTGTGATGACCAACCGATAGACCATGTAGATCGGAATGAAGATGACGGAAGAGGTTCCTATGCAATAACCCACTACTGTGGTCCAGTAGGGATAGTTATAATCAAAAAGCCGTAGCTCAGGAGGGTTGGACAGGAAGCTGCAAGTGACAAACTGGGAAAGGAAAAAGGGGAAAGTGTGATCGTTCCATCTGGTATTTTAATGGCAGACACTTACTTTAGCAATTCCAGATCCCAGCATAGCATTGAACTAAAAATCACGAGTAGGATTAAAAGGTTGTCAGTGAAAAAAATCCTAAATGACATTAGTATGGAATTTAAAAAAACAATCAAACAACCAGAAACCCAAAACTAAAGACCCCCCCAAACCACTTCTGGATATCCAGACTTTCCTTCAGGACGTTTAAAGGAGCTCGAGTGCTTCAGGGTTATAGCCCAGCCAGGCGCTGAAAGAGCCAGGTAAAAAGCCTCCCATGAGTTACTTATTCCGTAAATACACACGGATGTGTTTGTTGCCTGAGAAGCATTAGAGACACAATTCAGGACCACACTTGTACATTTAAAGGAAAAAAAAAAAGATGTTAGATGGACAGAATCAGATTGATTGATACCAGTGCACAGAATTTCATCCAGTTGCCCTTCTATCAAGCCCTATAACTTGATTCCAGCAAAGGATGCCTTCCAGAAAGGTCTCATCTTAATTTTAAGCCACCAGAAATGGGACGTGTAGAGTTTCCCATTGCCACTTGTCCTACATTTAATTATGATCAGTGTCAATTCTGTTTAGTCTGAATTTAACTCACAGCCCCTGTAGTGGTGCTTTATGCTGTTCTTTATTGGGTTGTAGCCCCTTTGAATACTCTTTCAAATACTGTTAAGAGTACTTACCTGTGGTAATCACATTGGCTGTCAGTTTTCTCTGTGATAAGCTATACAGATTCTATTTTTTTTCCGCTGTTACTTATTTCTACACAGTTTAGCTTTTCTGTGATATTTTTCCAGAGCATTTCAGTTCTTCAGTAGCTTTTACAACTGTTAATACTAGTTTGGATACAGCATTCTGGCATCAGCTCGACTGATGCTGTTAGATCGCTTTCCAGTGCATAGCCTTCATGAATGAAAACTGTCTAGTGAAACAACAAATACTTTTAGTTGAATATCACACGAATAATATTTGTGACTAGCATTGGAAGGACATCTGATTCTATCATCAGAGTATCAGGATTAACAGCAAAATTTCCATACAGAAATAATGTGCTGCCTTCTGGGCTTCCTTTAGTTTAGTTTAGTTTCCACGGAGAATCCAAATGGCTCTGCCTGCTAACCCCATCACCAGAGCCATGTTCCTCCCTGTTTGTTTTACTGCCTTAGGATCACAAAGAGGACAGGAGTATAAAAATTCTTTGTGGTGTCACCCCAATTTATAGCCTTTTCTTCCCTGCTTTTTCTAGGGGTAATAAAATGGTAATCTGTTAATGATGCATTGATCATTACAAGTGTTTGGAGTTCACTCTATAGGTCTTACACCTACATTCTGTGCTTTATAACCTCCAATTTGACCTGCTCTGCTCCTGCTAAGGCTAGTGGCAATAAAAGAGAGCGTGAACTAATTTTGGATCAGGAAATGAACACTTTATGTTAAAATGTTATCGATAATCCTGCCAAGTCAAACACTGGGACAGTGCTTCCAACTCAGAATTACAGATCTATAAAGGTTGTAATTAACTGCTGTAAATTCTAAGTGGAATATTCCAGTGTTGTCAGTCAGCGGGTGCTGAGGCAGTATGTTTACTTATCTTGGCTTTCCTCCCCAGGCAGTATATTTTATCATCATCTCTTATTGCCTCATTTTGCTGAGGTAAACATAAAGCAACAAACCAGAGTAACTTTGTTCAGCAGAGGGGTGGAGAACCCAGTCTTGCTAACAAAAATCCTTAAAATAGTGATTCAGTAACAAGACCTTGCATTGGATTTTTCACTCTTTGAGCCTTTTTGATTTAACAAAAAATGCTACTGAAGACCTTCACCAGAAGATTCTGTAATCAAGGTTTTAGAAGTCAAAGGAGCAGCATTGCTCAGTGGTCATTTTCTGGTGCTGGAAAGAAAAAGCTATAAAGAAAACTCACCAAAAGGAAGATGGGACTAATTGCTACCCAGCAAACTCGCCAGTACCAGCCTGGGGCAGAGCCTAGCATTTCTTTCACGTCATTGCAAAACTGGGTGATGCCTGTGGAGACAAGTGGGAGGAGAGTGGTAACAACAGATGTAAGTCTTGGGCAAGTAGATGCACAGCATTTTGTATACACAAGTAAATCTAGACTCCATCATGGAAGACTCTTTTGTTTCTGTAAGTCTTAATTATATTAAATCCTTAATTCTGCATTACCGCTCTTGTTGCTTTTAGATGTCTGTGTACTCACGTCAGAGAACAGTTAATTCTCATGGATTTAGTAATCAGTGAGTTTGTAAACTTTTTCTGGAGACACCGGTGATCTTGTCTGCTGAACAGAGGAAATAGCAGGCTGCAGCAGCTCAGCCGGCTGGGTTAGCACTGCAAATGGGTCAGCATGGCAATAGACATACCATAGAACCAGGACACAGCGACCGCTTCCAGAAACACGACGGTTAGGACAGCCGGCCCCGTGGCGTATTCCTCAAACAGCTTTACCACGTATGCACCTCCCTGGAAAGGAGACCACATCATCAGGGAACCGAAGATCCAGTGACGGGAATCTGCTCATACTGCTCTTCATTACTGCTTCCGTCTGGAGCAGAGCATTCCCAGACAGGTCACTCAGTTCTGTCACTGCATGGCTGGTCCTGGCAGTGAAGTCCCTGAGCGTGCTGCTGGTCTGCTCCCTCCCTATGAACCAGTGGGGCTGCCACGCAGATGAGTTAAAGCTGAACCCGCTGGCAGTTCTAGCTGGATTTTAAGGAGCAATTGGGATTTGATGGGGTTGATGGGATGGCTTTTTGCGTGCCTTCTCCAATGGCATCTTCTTTCACCAACATGAGTCACAGTTACCAAACACCAAATAACTATGGTGTTACTTTGCTTTCTTTGGGATCTAGAATCATGAAAGAGAAGAGCATTGTGTCTTGGAGAGGAGCTAAGTCTATTTGCAGCAAATGCCTTAAATGAGAAGGAAGTTGCACGTAAAAGAGCAAGTGGAGTGAAATGTGACACAAAAGCCAAGTATTTTTACTTCTTCCATATGATCATTGAACTCATTACTCAGAATTGTGCTTCTTGTGAAAATAGCTCCACAGGGACTATTTGGTGTGACTGATCCTGATTTCTGGCCTGATTTTATGAGGAAGATGCAGGAAATCCGTTGCTAGAAATTTTTTGGAGAACAGCAGCAGGCAATCACAGCATTTTCTAGCAGATGTATGCTCAATTAAAAAAAAAAATTTTAAACATTGCAAAAATTAGAATAACAATTAATATGATTTTTAAACATGGGGCTTTGGAGAACAAGAAGTAAGCCACATAGAGAATGTGAAAGGTTGCCTGTTCCTGGAGCAGCTGGAGGAGCAGCTGCATCAGTTCTGATGTGGAGCACATCAGAGTTGTGCTGAATTGCAAAAGGATCACTTTGCAGCGCATTTCCTAGTGAGATTTACTGTACACATTTCACTCCACAAACACATTTCTAACGCATAAAGAAAACAGGCTGGAGATTTAATCTGATTCCTTGAAACTCTCTTCAAAGATGTCATTAGCAGGAACCTGACAGTGAGGAAAACTGAGGAGTGGGTGAAATACTTACAAATGTCAGGGTTGCTAATGACCCCAGGAAGCAAATGATGATCAGACCAAGGACAAACAGTTCCCTGCGCTTGCTCCAGACATGCGGGAATTCATCCAGGACTCCAGTAATCACTCCCTCTAGTCCTGCAAACTGAAAAGCATGGAAAAGTCACTGGAAAATAGAGGGCAGTGTTACCTGCCTTGAAGTATGTTTCAGCGCTTAAAGGAGCTTTAAAGCATTGGAACAGTGGTGCTTTATTCTGCCTGTGGAGTTGTGTAACTGCTGTTTAGACAGGCTTCAGAACTTTTAAACTCTTCAAGGTGGGGATTTAGTCTTCATGGATCTGTAGGACATGCCTACCATCCAGAGGAAGCACTGTATTACAAGGAATAGGGTGCCAGTAAGTTGTAGGTGGCTCAGGAGAATCAAGATTGCGAAATTGCCTGAGTTCAGCCTTGCTGGAAGGAGTTACTAATTTCCACAGTATGACACTGACAAGTTGTTTAATTTTATTTAAGCTTATTTAGGTAATGCCTGCTGTCTTACAGAAGACACATGGAGATGCCAATCCTGCTTTAAACCCTTTAGTGGCGGTGCAGTATTTGTAATTCTGTTTCCTCTGATGCTGGCAAGAGTGATGCTATACACCAGGTACCCGAGAGGTTCACTGCCTTGCACTGCTGTGTACTCACCGTGCTGTCTAATCCCAGTGTGAGCAACATCAGGAAGAAGATGATGGCAAAGAAGGTGGAAGCAGGCATATTTGCAATGGCCTCAGCGTACGTGATGAAGAGGAGGCTGGGTCCTGATATTAGAACAGGGATAACTGTTAGCATGCTACTGCTGTGAGGAGGCTATTCTCAACCTAGAAGATTATATTCTATCTTAGAAGCACTTTGAGAGATGTGCATATAAAAGTAACCTACCAGTATCTTTGGCAACCTCTGATACATCTTCATTCCTCATCTCGGCCATGTATCCCAGCACGGTGAAAATGACAAATCCAGACACAAAACTAGTCACACAGTTCACAGTGCTGGTAACCAGAGCATCTCTGCAACAGAAGACCTAACTCGTGTCAGGGAATCGGCATCTGCTAGAAAGAGGGGTTTACTACAGATGGGGTGAGTTAGTGTTCTGGATGGAGTCCTAGGAAAACTAGGGGAATACAGGGGAAAAATCAAGCAGTAGATTTGAAAGAAAGAAACATAACCCCCAACCCCAAACTCCAAACGGTTGCTGTAACATCAGTCTGACACTGGGTTGAATGCTGGATGTACACTGGTGTTTTAGAAAAATAGGATTTACTGTAAGAATATTAAATAATTGAAAATTTTATTTTATACAAGTTATCCAATTTTATTCTGTCCAAGTTATAAATAGTGCCTTTCACCAGCACTGGGTTTCTTTTCCTTAAATAGCCACAGTTACATTTTTAAATTCAGTTTGACTTATAGAATCAGGTAGAACTCACTGGTAGCAGTTGTTATGGAACTTGTTGTAGCTGGCGTAAGCCAATAGGACCCCAAAACCTGGACCAAGGGAGAAAAAAATCTGAGCTGCTGCATCCACCCAAACCTGAAAAATAGTGAAGATCAAGGGAAAAAATGACACAAACCAGAGTGAATGAGTTTGGCATATTCAGAATATCCCTTAGCCCTACAAAACTGTGTCTCACTAGTCTGCCTGTATTCCTACTCCTGATGTAACACACATTTTGTTAAGAAAGCATGTTGGAATGCAAATATTTGTCATAGATCTGTGAGAGTTGTAAATATCCACTGTCATTTTAGTGCCTATTCAGTGCTTTTTGTGTCTCTACACTGTCTCCAGTGCTCACTGGTAGTTTCACTCCTGACAGCATCTGAGATGAGTTCACAGTGATTTGCCTGCAACCAGTTTAACATGAGAACTTCCTATCCATGATTTTGCAGTAGGCTTGGCCCATCTTCCTCCAAACTCTCTGTGCTCTCTGTGTGTCCTCCAGGCTGCCTAGTAGATCATCACTGCCCAGACTTTTCCTAGATATATGGAAATGCATTTGACAGTGTGGGTGCAGTTCTAGTCCTCGGGACTCAGTACAAGTGTGATGATCTCGTTATGAAATGCCTGTTGTACTTGAAAAGTGGCCACAGCCTTAATGAGTAGTGTTCCTAAAGTACAGTATCAGTCCTGTTTCCAGAGGTGAAAGTCCTCATTCATTTGTCCTCTTTTGACTGAACCATGGAGTTCATTACATCTCATTTCTAATATTCTCTTCCATCGTATGAGGCCATCCCATATCACCCACAGGCAGAGCTCTGTCACCGTCCAGCACACAGATTGTGATCTGCTGTCCTCACTTCAGATACAGCCAATACAATATCAATGCCCTTTATTGCTTTTTCTGAAGATGTGGTCCCTTATTGGAGATGCTGCTTTATCAGAGACTGGTGTCTTTTCATTTCCTTTTCATTCACACCTCTCCCTATCAGGTGGGCAGCAGCAGACTTGCAAACATTAGAATTTGTAATCTTTATATTTGTAGTATTTATTGCTTTGGGTTTTTTCCATCACCCTCCTCACTAGACACTTTCATAGGCAGTGAAGTAAGTGTAGCCTAGAGCCTGATGGACCACTTGTCATCCACAGAGTTCAAAGCTGAATCAGATATTGGAATGCCTGGGGTTTGTTGGTTGCCACAGTCTTGTCCTCATTCCTTTCTTTTTGAATCTTGGTGGTCTATGCAGGCCTAACTGATTTATTCCTCCTCTACAGGCACTTAAATGCATTATGGTCATATTTTAGTTGGTGGCTACAGAGAGTTTCCTTGGGCTTATCTGCCAGATCTTGTCTTGGAGGTTGGAAGTTACCACTCTGGTAACCAGCACTATTTACTGTATAAATACTGTGGACACTTGGGCTGTGGAAAAGCCTGCCCAACTGTGTAATGATCCCATCGCAGCCAAAAATCCTGCAGCTAGAGCTGTTGTTAGGGCTTAGGAAACTCACTTTGCTCAGTGTGGCTGTCAAAGATCAAGGGATTTACTGCAGTGTAGCAGCAATCACAGCTTCTTGCTCAGTGTCACCATTTTCCTGGTGAGAAATTGTTCAGTGGCTTGTTTTCCATCTAATCACATCACTAACTGTGTTCAGCCCCTTTCTGGGAGCTCTGCTCTTAGTTCAAGCTGAGTTGATGGTGGATACTAATCTTTAAAACATCTTTATAATTATAGAAAGAATAGCGTGACTTTAAACAAGAGCATGAAGCCAGGCTTGTAAGCCCACACCAAGACATATGTTTACTCACGCTCTGAGCTGAAAAGAGACATTGAAGTGTATACATGCTGATGGCAAACAGCAAATCTCTACCCATTTGTAATGGTTTTTTACCTCAGTGGCCAGGAGTTTCTGCCAGTCAGGTTTCAAGTAGTAGAGGACTCCTCTCCAAGCCCCGGGCAATGTTGCACCTCTCACAAGCAGGATAAAGAGTATGATGTAAGGGAATGTGGCAGTTACCCACACCACCTGTGAGGGGAAACAGGAACACAGTGTTTGCCAGGAGTAGAAAGTTAACAGTGATAATGAGTTATTATAGCTCTTAGCATTTGTAACATCCTCATGTGAGCTTCTTCAGAGGATCTGTGAACAGGCAGCTTGCACATCTATACCCATGCTTTCCCTCAGCAGAGTTGTTCTGGTCCAGAGAACAGTGGTGTGATTTACTGTTGTTACATATTACTTGAGTAACAGTAGCAGTCACTCCACACCAAGTGCTTTCCAAATCCATAAACCTCTAATCCCTGTCATGAAGACAATCTGAGATCATTCTGTCAAGTTACTTGGCTCATTTAGAACTGCTGCTAGACTATACTGTACCACATTGATTCATCTTGCTTTCGCATTCACCTTGCCAGATGTTTTGACCCCTTTCCAGATGCTGAAGTATACAATGGTGAAGATTAGCAATAAACAGAGGCTCAATTGCCAGCTAATGCCTCCCAGGTCATCCAGCCCATCAGACCTGTGCACCTGTAGAACTCGGCGTCTGAAAGAGGAAAGAAAAACACAAGTATAGATATTTTTTAACAGAAGCTGATGTTAAGTCCTGTACTGTCATCTGAGCATTACAGGTAGTCCTGGGGCCTTGAAAAGTAGCCTTCAGTCATGTCTTTTTATCTTTTAACTAGTTAATGGTGCAACAGTGACGATAAATGATAAGTGATGACAGTGGTTTGGACCCCTTTATCTAGAATACAGAGTACCCTCCCATACACCCTAAGCTTACACACACCTACAAGTAAGTATTCAGTGATCTGAATACTTCAGAAGAGGGTCCCATTAATAAGGAGCCCTCCTCCCCCTCCAAACTACATATTCCACCAGTCTGCCTGATATCACCATCCTCACTTACATGCACTTACGTATAAAATTCTTCTGCAGGAGAGATGGAGTGTGGGGACCAGCTGACATTATCCTTGCTGAAGTAGTTTGTGCAGTTGCCTGTGTTCCAGGCATTTGTGCAGCTAGTCCATGGCAGCTCCGTCGTGAAGGAGGAGATGAGGTAGTAAAAGGCCCAAGCCATAATGGTGTTGTAATAGGAGGCTACGTAAAGGTCTATTATACAGATGGCAAAGCCAATTCCTAGTAAGGCAGGAAATAATTACATGAAGTAAGTGTAAGTTTTAGGCCAAAAACAAAGGGAAGGAATTTGTTACCATATCAACTACAATTAGTAACTGTCTAAGGCAGCTCTCAGGAGGTACACTACCCTCTCAAGTATTTACAACAGTGGAATTTCTTGTGGCTTCAGGAACATTCAGGCTCTGATTCCAAAAAAGCATCCTTAAGCAAGACAGGACATGCTTATATAGGTTTTTTTTCCCATCTGTTCCCAAATTCCTGGAATTTAGAAATAGGCATCTTGCACTCTCAGTAAATAAGAGACAGGACCAGAGCTTCAAGCCTGGGAGCAAGAGTAAATGAGCATATGGGACAGGCCCATTTACTCAAAGAGACTCTATGGTAGGACAGCAATTGACAGACGAGGCTGAAGATAGGGAATCATTTATTTGTAACAGAAATAGTAGCTCTGTATGCTTTCCTGGTTTGAACTTCCCCTTGGATTCAGGAATGTTGCACTCTATGAATTCCATTTTCTGTTTATTGAGCATTTCCAGGCTTGGGTCAGAGAACGTGGACCCAGTGGTTATCTAATCAGTTAGACAGTTGCATGTCATACACACATATGAGAGCACACACGTCTGCAAGTGGACATAAAGCTTTATGAAAGCTTTCTTTGTAAAGCCAAATTCTTGTGTAGAACAAGCCTTACTTTGCTTTAGAAGATCTTAATATTTATTTAAGAAATTGCACCTTTATAGGAAACTCTTCCAGTTACTCTGGAAGTCCCCAGTATTTTCCCATTCCCCTTCTTTACCTTTGAATATAGGACATATTTTTCTCCAAATTGAAATACACCCATTCCTGTGGTACTGTCCTAGTGCTAGTTCCATATAGAAGAGAGGAATCCCTCCAAAGATGGCCATAATTGTGTAAGGAATGAGGAATGCCCCTGCAAGAAAGAAAGCAGGTTATTGTAACTCTACATAGGGCTTCTCTTCCAACAGTACCAGCACTCCATACACAAGAATTCCTTTTATCCCACAGGCAAAATGCATACCCCCTTCCTAGCCACTGTGCCACACTGAATTACCATGGGATTTCTCATAAGAGTAACTACTTAGTAAAGTGAGTAAGAAGCAACATTCGGGCCAAATGTCTCACATTTCTATAGCAAGTATACATAGGATTCACCAAAACTGCACTGGCTACAATGCATTACAACTGTGAGAGAGGTGGGCTACAGGTGAAATAATTTCTTCAGTAAAATGCCTTTGTTACATCATGGAGACAAAAGTCCCTTGCAAGATCTCCTTGATTAGATTTATGATTTGGCTGATACATCAGTGAGTTGAAGGCTTTGCATTCCTCATGAGCTGGTTTTGACATGTTGGTTTATCTGATTCTAAAATACTCCCTGGGACAGGGGTTGAGTCTGTTCTCTTGGAACATGGTTCTGTACCCAACTGGCTCTTGGCTTCTGTTTGTACTGACATTTTAGATCTTGCTTACTAGTTTTCTTCCATGTTAATATCTATCTCTTCTATTCCAGTATTTAGGTTTTCCAATACGCTTGCAAAGTAATTTTCCCTTTGCTGTTTGTTATGTATGATACTAAAATGAGCCACTAACCCATCCATTTACAAGCAGGAAGTTCAGCATTAAGGAACAGCACACAGAACTAGTCACTGACCTCCTCCGTTCTGATAGCATATATACGGAAATCTCCACACATTCCCCAGATCCACTGCATAGCCAATGACAGAGAGCAGAAAGTCAATTTTTTTACTCCAGGTCTCTCTGTCTTCCAACTCCATCAGCTGCTGCTGGCCTTCTGCTCCGCAGGTGGTGGAAGTGGTGGTTGTAGTGGTGGTGGTGGCTGCTGGGGCAGTGCACTGGGCATCCTCTGCCTCTCCCATGCCGTTGCAGGGAGCGGAGCTCTGCCCCCCTGAATAACCATTTGAGATCTGAGCTGCCTGCCCTTTGTCGCCCTGGCTGGGATGGACTTTGTTGCCATCCTCCACCAGCCGCAGGGCAGATTTAGGGTTCCTGACCAGAAGTCCATTCTCTTTACAGTCTTCTCCTTTGTTACAGTCTGAGGCATCTTTCTTGCAAGTCAGTGGCTCAGTCTCTTTCCCCGTTGCCTTTTTTTCCATTTTCACCAGGATTTGTTCCAATCACTTGCACACAGACAGCAGCAGAGTCCCCTTGTGGCTTGTCTTCCCACACTTTTATTCCCAGCCTATTCCCAGCACTTTTAGAACTCCTCTTCCATATTTAAATCCATCACATTGAAGGCACAAACACCATCTAAGAAATGAAAATAGTTAAAAATCCATTACAGGGCTTATTGATGCTGTAACTTTTAAGTTACAACTGAGAGATTCTGTAATTAAAATACTTTTGGAAGTAATGAACCATCACAGCATGCAGTGTGAATCATTTAGCAGATAATCCAGGATATTCAGTACAGAGAAAGGAAGGAAGCAGTGATCCTCTCCTGCAGCAGAAGCTGCTGTACCTGGTTTATAACCTCTCGGGCAGGTTTGCTGGACTTTGTGCATTGTTGGCAGTCACAGTCCCACTGTCTTCTGGTACCACGTTCCCCTCTGAACCCTGCTTTCACGCCCAGGGAGGCTGTGGGACTCCCAGGTTGCAATACTGAGGGCAGAGTTTAGTGTGGCTTGTGTTTTCAGTTTCATAAGTTCATCCTGTGTCTTACCCACTCATCCTGTGGTAATTTCTAGGTTCACCCAGTATGAAGGGAAAAGAATTAGTGAAACAAATATGACATAACAGTGGATATACAAATTACGTTTCAGGACCACCTCTCTTCAGAAATTCCACAGGTTCTGCTTTGTTTAGCAGCACACCTAGAAGGTTTAAATGGAAGTTGAAGTAAGTATTTAAATCTCAGTTGTTTTGCATCAAACTGACTTTTGAGGCTGTCAGCACTAATAACAGCAAGGAAAAAAGATCAGAAAACTTCAATTTGATTGTTTTGAGTAAGAGCTAACGTGTGGGTCTAAAGGACAAGAATTGTCCCCAGTTTTATTTAAATCCTTGGGGAAATAAAGGCAGCTTTCCATTTGGATCTGCTAACACTGTGGTTCCAGCCCCGGGAAGGGCAGCGGGTACGACTGCAAAGAGCAGACTCTGGGAGAACCCCTGGCTATCCCAGCCCTCTTCATGTGGGCTGGGAGCCTAACACAAGCAAAACGAACCATCCCCAAATAAAGAAAGTGCACAGCACAGATTTTCCTTCAGAACAGAAAAAGAACTGTGGGCCAGTGGGTCAGGTTTTGTTCTCTGGTCGTTTGTTAGGGAAGTCAAATGCCCTTAAAAACAGCATTAAAAGCTGCCTTTACTCTTGAAATGGGAGCTGATTCTCTGTGCTGCAAATTCCCTGGGGCAGTAACCTTGCTTTATAGCGAGAAAAGCCTTATAAAAGCTACACAGATTATTATAATTACATCTAATTTTTCCTTTCAAATCCTTTTACCACCGTGAACAGCATTGTCACGTGCTAACAGAAGAATAAGCATTACTTTATTTCACTTACAACCATTGGGAAAGAATTTTCTCATTGCTTTCATCCTTGCGCAAAGACAGTTCGTTAAACCTCTTCCTAAATACTTATCAGTGCAAGCAGAAAGAGAAGGAAAGCTATCCAGCTGCAGAGTAAACAGGAGGATGGTCCTGAGGTGAAAGTCACTTGAAGGTGTTTATGATGTTCAGAAATACCTAGTTCTTCAGTTCTTCTTTTCATCATATAGCAAGCAGTGCATCATTAATGCTGACTTCTTAGAGCAGTACTTTGCTACCATTAGTTAATCATCCACAAAGACTGAAACATCTTCAGAGTTCCACAGAAAAATACTACTGAGAAGAACAGGAGTTTCTGCTATAAAATCTGAATGGCTTTGGAGTCTGAAACCATCCCAGAAAAGCTTATGTAGATGAGAACAGTCCTACCACCACTGGAGGTAACATAAGAATCCTAGGAAAGGTCACAGTCAATCCTGCTCTCCTATAGAGCATGTTAAATAAGGTAGGAACATGGAAAAGTAACCTGAGCCCTTATGGACTTTACACCTCTTACTCATAAATGGGAAAGCAGTAAAGGATGTTGATTTAGCTGCATTATCTCATGAGGCTGAGTTTTCCATACCTGAGACTTAAACCCTTACTGTATTTGTGAAACACTTCATTTCTGCACATAAGTACTTCTTGGTGCTTCCTTTACAGAGGAGAGGTCATGGAATGTATTGTTGATTTGCTGGATCTGTGACAATCAAGACCGTTGTCTTATCCAGATCTAAGCTCCTTCTGGTCTTCTGCAGACCACAGGGAAGAAATATCCCATTATTTAAAATATTGATGTAGAATTTTCAGTAGTTCAGCCTAAAATATGCAAAATTATGTGGGAACTTTTGGGGGCTTCAGCTGGAATTTGAACTATTCCCTGGGAAATCTCTGGAGTGAGAGACTCAACAGCAGTGTTCACAGGGGTATAGTTGGCACATGAAAACACAGCATTTAGAGAGTCAGATTTCATTACAGCGTAAAACTGTGGGAGAATGGACTTTTTCTCCCTCTTGTTACAACTCAAACAAAAAAATATCTGTAACTGCTACAAACGGCACAAACAGCTGCAGAATTGAAGCTCTTGGGGCTGAGAAGTGTGTTAGGATCACTAGGGAACATACCCAGGGGAAAATTACACCAATAGCGAAGGATTTTGCCCTCCATTTCATCTCCATGCACCGATCCTTCAGTAGTTACAGGTGCTAGAATGATGATAGTGACTGATGTAAGAAAGGGCAGTTTGTTACTTATTTTCCATCTGAGCTGTTGCAAAGGTTGCTCTTATATAAATTCACATTGGCTTCTTATCGCCAGCATAATCTGCTACAGAAGAAGAAAAAGCAAGCTCGCTGTGTCTTCATTTGGTTGTGATGTGATGTGTCTTTGCTCCTCTGAGCAGCCCTAAGTGTGTGCACCTTTTGTCCCTCCAGCTCTGAACAAAGATTCTGGAGTGAGCCTAGAGGAGCTCATGGAGATGCTGCAAGAGAAGGCTCCTGAAGGGGAGACCTTAGAGCAGCTCCAGTGCGTAAAGGGGCTGCAGGAAACCTGGAGAGGGGCTTTGGACAAGAGCCTGCAGGGACAGGCCAAGGGGAATGGCTTGAACCTGCCAGAGGGGAGACTGAGCTGAGCTCTTAGGCAGAAGCTCTTCCCTGTGAGGGTGCTGAGGCGCTGGCACAGGGTGCCCAGAGAAGCTGTGGCTGCCCCATCCCTGGCAGTGCTCAAGGCCAGGTTGGACACTGGGGCTTGCAGCAAGCGGCTCTGGTGGAAGGTGTCCCTGCCTGTGGCAGGGGTTGGAGTTGGATGAGCTTTAAGGTCCCTTCCAACACAAACCAGTCTGGGATTCTACGATTATTCTAAAGGCCAGTTTTCTTTTCTTAATGCTGTGCTCTCCAGGAGCACAGGAGAGGTGCCAGCCCTGTGAATTGCATTCCTCCCTAGTCAAAGAGTGACAGAAGAAGAGCAACCCTCAGCCCTGCTCCAGGGAAGCATCCTCTAACACACAGCACATCCTCCACAGCTATTCCCTGCTTTGCTTGCTTGCTGAAAACACTAGGCTGGCTAATTGAAGCCATATGTTCCTACAAGCTTGGCTGGAGCCACCAACGCAGTTCACATCAGCCAAATATTAATTAAATTATCATTTTTGGTTACTCCCACTCGAGCTAAACTCGAACCAGCACTATGGATGTCAAAGCCCTCTATGCCCCTTGGTGCACAAACCCAACTCCTTTGCCTCTATCAAAGCAATCCTCAAGGAACATCCATCCCTGTCCTGGGGCCCGGCTCCTTCCTGAGCTGCGCAACTGATGGAGCATCGCTTTGTTTAGTTCCTGAGGCACGCAGTGACCTCTCGTGGCAGTGTGGGAATCCCTCTCTTTTAATGTCCTGCCATGTAGTAAACCAAAATCCTTCTAGCGCTTCAAGACAAAACGGTTTTCCTGTTCTCTGTGTTTTTTAAAGGAGCAGATTGACGTGTCCAGGAGATTAAGGCAATTACATTGAGGTACAGCAAATACCAGATGCTTCAAGGAAAGCAAATCTCAATGCCTTGAGTCACCTGGAGGATACTTTATTTGAGGTGGGGCAGCACTGACTTCCTGAATTCCTCAGCACAAGGGTTTGTTCAGCCTCACTCTGCGTGACTGCAGATTCATTGCTTGCCTCCAAACCATCCAATACATTCTAACTTGCAACATGTGGATATTTGCATGCATTTTGCATCATACAAATTACATTCTGTTTTCACGTGCTACTTTTATGAGCCAATGCTTGCTGGAGTGCCAGCTACTCGCTGGGTTACAGCAGTTCCTGCAGCAAAACCCATGTCTATCCCTCGCGCAGCTCCTCCATCTGCCCCACTTCTGCCCGTTCACATGCTAGCACTTGCAAAGAATTCAAGTGCTTTGAACTCTGGGACAAAAAGTTAACTCACCCTGCTGGCAAACAGAACCAAACATTATAACACATACCTGTTACCTTGACCTAAATCTTGGTTTTATCACAAAGTATTTAAGATGGTTAAAATTATGTAGCTGCTTGACTGCATATTACACGTTGGAATAAAGGTGCTGTTCACACAGGCAGCTCTGTCTTTGCACAGGAGGGAGGTGACCTGGGTGACAGTGAGAACCTTGTAAAGATTGGTCCTTTTAACAGGCTTTTGTGGGCTGGTGCATCCCTGGTTTACTGCAAGTGTGGTGTGAAGGAGGTTTTGAAGGCCAGGACTAACCCTTTAATCAAAGTTATTCTGGGATAGCTCTGATGTGCCCATGCTGTGAGGAGTTGTTGGAAAATAAGTTTCAGCCAATTAAATCTTGAAACTAGATTAGGATTCGTTTTACCTGCTGTGTATCATACACAAGCCATGCTTAGGGTTCATAATGCAAAAAAAATAAATGCCCTTTGCTTTTTGGCTGTGTTTGTACATACTGATGTCACTAAAAAATGAGCACCTAGGATATCCTTTTCTATCAGCTTGTTTCCATTGTGAGCCAATAGCAAGTGTGACAGATTCCATTTCAGGTTTCAAAGCCTGATATTCATAAATACACAGTAGAAGATACAGACTCCCAGCTTTGGGAGGGCTGCCTGTAACCAGCAGTATTTGGTGCAAAGCAGGTGCAAGCTGATGTCTAAACTACCCTCAACAACAGAAAAATCATTTCTTCAGGGTTTTGGGTTTTAGCTATGCTTCTGCAGTCTAGTTGAATACAATCAAAACTGACTTTTGATAAAGAGTGATCAAAACCCACTGAAATTAATGGCTCTAGTGAGCAGGTCTGATCCTGGTGCCAGTCATTTTAAGTGTAACTGGATTGGGTACTTCTGCACACCACTAATGGGTATTTTATAAGAAACCTGAAACTTGCAGACGACAAATTAGATCCTATATCTGAGTATTTGCAGTTCTCCAAGGGCTTGCTTCTTACTAAAACAGAATAGAACTGTACTCAACAAGTAGTCCCACTGAGATAGTGGGAGAGTAAAAGGCTCTTACCAAGGTAAGAATGGCATAAGTAGCAAACTGTCTCCAGTTAACTTGTGTATTCCCAGATAAGGCTAAATACAAGTAAGATGTGAAAATAATGCCTCTGAAAGGAATAGTATTATGGGAATATAAACCTGTGCTGTGAGTTTTTACGTCCCCATCTTGTCCATCTTTCAGTCTGAAATTAAGAAGTCGGCAAGAAAGAGAATTTACCTTTAAAAATGTGTTGAGAAGACAGATGCTGTGTTGTAGTGGGAATGCTGCCAGATGGATGACATTTAAAAACAGGGAGGAGGGGGAGAAAATGCATTTTGTGGCTCGAGTGGCTACATGTAGTGCAAGGAAACAGATAAGCGCAGAGGGAATGCTATTCCCTTTGTATTCTTCCTCAAATTATTTATATAAACTTGAAGGAAAAGTCATAACAGAGCAAATATCACCAAATAGAGCAGAGTTCCTTAATGGAACTCTGCACAGGCAAATTAACAGGCATGGTGTTTGAAGTGAGAGACCTGTTTGCAGATGGAAGTCAAAGCCTGGCTGCATGCATGTACTTGTTTGTAATGTTTTGACCTAAAGGAAGTAAAGAAACAGTCACCATTGTTTCCAGATAATGTTTCTTTGAAGGAGATTTGTTAACAGCTATCTCTAAATTACAGCCCCTTTATACAGGCTCCAAGTTCTTTATGAAACACTTGTGCCACAGACAGGCTTCGTTATGTTGTGTAAAATCTATGATACAGATTGCCAGATCAACAGAGCTGCAGATACACAGTTTTGGAACAGAGTTAAAACACCAGCATCACAAAGGACAACAGGATACAGAATTAACATTTCTTTAGGCTCTTAATTCCTAATGAAAACTGGCTGGGTTTTATTTCCATGGGGGAAAGCAGGAAAGAGCTTAAATACACACCGTGAGTTTCCTTGTGTGGGAATAATTTAGGGGGGTTATTAAATTCCAGTTTTAGGGCAGTTTTTCTTAATTTATATAACCATTTGCGATTCAGCACACCCTGTCCAATTAGAAAATGGACCACAACAGACACTTGCTTAATGCCAGGTTTACAAAGTGCTCTCTGAGAAAACTACCATCAATTCAGTCATCGATAGCACCAGAAGATGAGGTCCAGGTGCCTGGACCTTCCCTGGTGAATGCCTGGCAGCTAAAAACCCACGTGAAAAAAAATCCCACAAGGCTTCCAGGAATCCAGATCCAGTAAATGCACGATCCTTTCCCCCCAGACTTTCTTACCACACCAAAACATGTTTTCCATGACTATTTATATATCCACTTACATGGCATTCCTCACTTAAACTTCCATATTACTTGGCAAGCTAACCAGCAGGCAAGTTGTTTCAGCACTAAACATGATTGACTATAAATCTATATATGACATACTCTTCAGATTTATTACTGATAATAAATCTGTCCCATTGAGTTAGATAATTTACTGTGCTGGAACAGTTTACCTTTTAAAATAGAACTTTATATGGTTATTAAAACTTACTTTGTATAAAATAAACAATAGCTTGCATTGATTTCTTCCCTTCAGATTCTGCTTATTTTTCCTTATAGTTTAATGCCTTTCTGTAAACTTTAAATAAACTTCATGCTCATAATGCAGTTATGGGGACTGTGAAAACTGTAATTTCAGATTGTCATAACATGTTCTGCTGCAGGCATTTGACTCCCAACATTCATAACTGCTGGACAAGTGCCTGAGCAAGAGGGAGTAGGGCATCAGAGCAGCAGAAAAGCAAGAAAAAGCATTAAAGTTTTAAGACAAAATCAAAACAAACTTTCACCAAAAACCTTTGTTAGATGTGCATTTCCCCAAAGCTACAGAAATACTCTAAGACCTTAAAAGCTGATTTAAAAAGAAGCAAAACGTAGCGTGCGCATTCTAGACTGTTATTAGTAGTTCAGACTTCATAACTAGAGCTGAAAGAGGCAATAAGGAGTGGAAGTTAATGAAGCTCTGCTATCTGCTTGCTTCAGAAGGTAAGCTCTGAAGACAGCATCTCAAAGACTGTCTAAATTCATAAAGTCCTCAGAAATCAGTGATAAAAACAACATCATAAAGTACCTGTCGTTTGGGTCGGCTTGAAGCACTTTCCTTGGAGTTATCCAAGCTCGAGTAACCTTCACCCACATTTACGTCGGTCTCGGGAGCTCAGCCTGTGGGCAACTCAGCATCTTGGGGAGGTTTTTGTACACCAGTCCCCCTCACATGGTCTGATTTCCAGATAATCTGCTGCCAAAGAGCTCTTGGAGAATTTTTGCGTCACTTTAGTCAAATAAACTTTATGTTTCACCAGGGCTGCAGCTCAGTTTTCCTCCTAGAGGTGGGTGGCTACATTTGCCTGCTCCGATCAGTTCAAAAGAGCAGGATCCAATGAAGGCAGAGGGAGAAGGAGGGAAGCTTTCCTGGTAAGGGACAGGTTTGCTGGCTCTTATTCCAGCTATAAATAACAGGATGGGGATGATGATGATGGAGACAGCAAACAGGGTGGAAGTTCTGAGGAAATCAGTAAATGACGAGTTTGCAGGTGGGTCTGGGAATTGAGGTAGGAAAAAACCTGGGATCTGATGACAGTAAAATGGCTTGGAAAGAATAACTTCTATTGCTGAATATTTACATTATTTTAACAAAGAAATAAGGTTTAGTTGTGGTTTAAAGCATTCTTTACACTGATTCTTAGAAGCGCTTTGCTGCTCAACAAGTGATTTCCTTTCTTCCTGCTGCTCCTCAAAATCTCTCACTCAGCCTCTGACACATGCCGGGTCTCCAGCTTTTTCATCCAGGATTTCTTCATTCCTAGACTTTACCATGTGTTTATAAAGAGTCATAACCCACAAGTCAGTGAAATAGTGCCATGGGTTAGGCGACAGATTTGGGAGAAAACAAGTGGAAAAGCAGAATGGGGACAACTAAGAATAGCGGATGGTTGGAGCAGCAGCAGTTTTGCTGGAAGTTGTTGCCAGTTTTCAGAGCCTTGCTCCAGACAATTGAAAAGAAAACAAAGTCTGAGCACTGGAAAGCACTGGGATATAATTAGCACTTTCCTTTTTCTGTCTCCTGGTCCCTTAATGACAGCAGCAGGCAGGCAGGCAGCAGCGTGGCACTTGCACCATCTCAAGGATAGCTCAGGTATTGCAATCGTAGACCCCAGCCACACATGGCTTAGAAGTTCTGGCTTTCCCGTTAATTCTTGTTGGCAAGGTATTAAAACCACTGTGTCAAATTAAGTTTGTGGCCTTCAGTTGTATCAGACATCCATTGATCTTTAAGTGGAAATAGCACTAAATCATCCGCTCTCTGCTGTGCTGAACTTCCCTTCTTTCCAAAATAAGCAGCTGTGGTTGTGTTAATCTCTGTTTAGCTGCCCCAAACTCAGCGTCCTTGCAGCCTGTAATCAGCCAGTGTCCCCCTGGTTGTCCTGTTCTGAAGGGTTTGCAAGGACAAAGGCTTGGTGCCTCACTCAGCCTTTATGAATGCTGAAGTACAGCGTCTGAATGCACCAGTTCCCATCTGTGGGTTAGCCCCTGTGCTTTGCATAGCAGGTTTTTTGCTTTCTTGGGATATGGAACGAATCTGTGCCTCGCTTTCATGCAGATTGCCAGCTCACTACTGCTGGGAGATGGGAATGGATTTTCCAAACTCACTTTTTCTACCCTTTTACAAGAAAAATTCTCTTTACTTTGGCCCCTTCTTTACATGATTATGTGGGGAGTTTAAAAGTTTTAGGGCATCATGACCTTTGAGGCTTTTTCTCCGTCTTGGTCTCTGCTTAGAGTAGGCTCTTTTAGCAAGACCTCAAACACTGCTGCACACCATTCACCTTGGTCAACACTTGCAGTTAAATTGCTTTCATATGTTCACATCAGTGGCACCCAGCATCACCATCTGGTTATTTCTGTAGGGCACACAAAGCTGTAACATGACAAGAGGCACATTGAGAACACAAAACCACCTTTCATGACTTATCCTGGCCTGCTTGGTCAGTTGAGGAGTTTTTTCTCATTAATGGCTTTTGCAGCAGCATGGGGGTTTGTTTGCAGTTTCTTACCAGTCTGGAGCCTTTGGAGCATAACATAAATGACAGACTTGGGATTTCAGGCAGAGCCCTCCACTTTATCCTGTATGTGAAAGACTTCCAAGTGTTGTACCAAGTCAGTTCCAGAATTCCATGAAGTATCCTGTGCATTGGTGGGTAAAACATTAATGATTTCTGGAAAGTATGAAAAAAAGAGGAAGAAAACTGACTTTACACAAGATGTAGCCTCAAACACTTCTGCAGTTCTCTACAGGCAAAGCAACTGTAGATCCAGTTCCCAATACCAGCACAAGGATGGGAAGCATCAAATTCCCTAATAACAGTAGTACCAGCTGTACTAAGAAGAGCTTAATAGTAATTCTGCAAGTGTGTCTGATTCACTGCCAGTAAGAGGATAGGAACAATCTTCCAAATAACACAAAACAAATCCTAAAGTATTTATTTGTTCCCAGTTTTTTGCTTAGTTAGGAATCAGACTGTGTTTAGAAGCTATTAGGATTGGCTTTGGGATAAAAGAAATTCTGATTGTCCTGCCCTGTTATTTTCTAAGCTGACTGAGCTGGGAAATACATCTGGGCATTACATGGGGTTTGGAGAGGTTTTGTGATTTCAGCTGTTTTGAGAGAGCATTTGGGTGGAGAAATCTGATTCCGAGAACCTACAAACTGCTACTACATGTAAGCTCCCCTGCCTCTTCCTTTTCTTAGGAGGAATTACTATTCTGACTTTTGATGGAATCCGAGCTATCTGACTTTTACAACGTCATCTGTCAATATTTCCCACCTGTCAGAGGAACTCTTTGAATTATCACGAGAACTACACCACTGACAAACAGGAAAAGGAAACTGTCGGTTGGTTCCTCAGCAATCCAAAGGTCTTTATAAGGATAAACTAAAGAAAGCAGCAGCACTGAAACACAGTGGGCAGGAACTGGTTTTGGTTTTTCAGTCAAACCTAGGCATCTTTTTAGCAGTTGGACGTTGGTTTTGTTGTGATCTTAGTTTACAGTTGATAAGGCACAGAGCTTCCTTTGCTGGACTGTAGCAAGTTAGGAGTGTTCCCACATTATTTCCACTCCATCAGGTGGAAAGAGTTTAGGTTTTGATCCTCTTTGAACAACTTTCTACAAACTGACAGGAGTTAAGCGGTCTGTTCCTCAACCGCATGCTGCTATACTACACTGCTGGAGTGGTGCTGGGCCACTTCATTCCATCACCTCTGTGGTGTCCTCTTACTTCCATGCACCTGAGAAGAGCCTGAGGTTCTTCTGGATCCAGCCATCCCTTGTGCTACACAGGACAAACTTCCTCAGCCTCCGTACGGAGCATGTGGCTTCTCAATCATCTGCTCAACTCTCTCAATTCTCACTCCCCAGTTGAGGGCTGCTGATCACATTAGTGATATTTCCTTTAGGACACAAGAGCAGAGTGACCCAGTTAACATAGCCACAGGAGCTGTTAGTGGGAAATCACATACTGATTGGATTCACATTTTAAACTGCTGCTTAAAAACAAGCCCACTGCCTGTGAGATACAACTGGTGGATAACAAAGCCACTTAGCAAGGGCACACAGCTATTGATTCTTACCAAGGTACAGGTTTTCATGGGCTGTTAACCACTGAGAAAAAGTTTGTTCAACTGCCTTTAGAGTCCTCAAAGTGGAAGAAATAGAGCTATTTCCCTTCCTCTTCCCTACTCCTTCTTACAAAGAACTTAGAAAGATGCTGAGCATAAAGGCAAAACTCTTTCTGCAAGATTAGCTTCATTTCCTGTAATGTGTCTCAGCCATGTGGGTTTTCTGTGCTTATTTGAAGGAAAAGAAAACCAACCCATACTATTGTATAAGCTGTACAGGGAAATAGCTGGGAGATAAGCACACGCTGGACAATACTTTAAATACTTAACAAAAACTGGCTTGGAAACTCTTTTTAGTTTGTCAGACTCAATCCTCACCACTGCTGCTATGGGCAACACAAATTATAAACTCCAGAGAAAAAGTGACTCTCTTTGGCTGCTCTGCCCCTCTCAGAGATAGCATAAAGGAAAGAGTTGGTGTAATGTCATAAGCAGAAAGGTTTTAAAAGACTAAAATACTGACCTTT